CGCGAGACTGCGATCGCATTTGCGTCGCTTCGACTCGGTCCGTGACGATTCCGGCTGTATAGGGTGGCCACAAGGTCAAACAAGGAAAGCACAGCGTGTTGTCCTCCGTTTTCCGCACGTTGTTTTTATCTTTCGTCATCTTTTTTTGGACATCTTCCACGTGGAAGCCCAATATCATGGAAGCGGTCTCCGATGGCTTTCACGATTCCCCAAAGCGCATCATCGCGTGTTGTCTGTTCGAAAAACGAGTGTGAGCGATGATCCCAGCGGCGAAGAACCAGCGAACATTTTTCTGTAGATGCCGAAGAGGACTTGTTTCAAGGATACACCCATCAGTAATCGGAAAGAGTCACGAAGAGAAGAGAGTCGAGATGCTTCCCCCTCCCCTTAAGACCATCGAAGGAAGATTGACGACAAGAAGTGGAAATTCGGAAAGTCGAGAATCGGAGGGATTGCGAAGAAAAATGATGGGCTCACCCTAACAGACGCTCATTTTACTCAAGGTCCCGGTGGAATTGAAGCTGACAGATGGCAGCGGTGAAATATCCAGAGCATGAGAAAAATCAGATTAATTTCGTGTCTATTTTTTCCGGAGACCCAATCGATTAGGGAAATGGTCGGGAACCTACGGCTCACTTAACTTTATCTTAATATGGCACCCATGGCCAAAAAGGTTCCCGACGCTTGGGTCAAGGGGATTCAGAATCTGCATTAATTTTGGCGCTAATAACTTTTTAAGAAGACATCCAACGCCAAAATACGTGTAAATAAATATTCTGAATCCTCTATCCATTCGCTTTCGTCTAAGCTATTCATTAAATTAATCTGGTAAATGAGATTATAGAGCCGACCCCAATTTTCATCGACCCTCTCATTTTGTGAGGTGTTCACCCTCTCACCCAGGGAGGCAATACCTTCAAGACCATCGGGCAGACGGTGCTGACATTTTTAGTCCCGCATGACGTCATATGAAGCAAAATTGAAGCAATTCCGCGCGGGTCGAACAACCGCCTCGGTCGAGTCGATGAGCTTAAGAAATCGGGCGACTATTTACTTAAAACGCATACTTTGACACTAGGAAATCGAAGAATCGAAGGACGCAGATGGGCTTCACGCCGCACAGGTGACGGTGCAGGTGAATCCCTTGTCCCTGAGGAAGGCGTCGGCGTGGAAGGAGAGCGCCAGCGTCGTGCCCGCCGGCACCGTGTACCCGGTCAGGGAGGTCGCGCCGCACAGCCTGGAAGGAGGTCGGAGGCAGGCGTGAGTCGGTCTCTTCGTGTTAGGCATGCGAGGGGCGAATCGCTTTATTCGCAGTGGGTGGATGTCGCGTGCGGTTGGGAAAGCAGAACGCGGCCCATTACGAGGATTCCATGCTCACCTTCTGGTTCCGCTGCCGGAGACGATGAGTACGTCTGCCCAACAGTTGAATGAAGGCTGAATCTGGATGGTAGGACAGGTCAACGTCATCTGCTTCGCGCACTGTCAACAAAACCGTATCTCATGCTGTCGAATTCAGAAGGGAGAAGAAATGCTAAAATGTGCATTAATCACGGATGAATCCTCATCGTGTACGTCCATATGACGTGCGCCCAGTTATCGTAGTTGTTGGGGTAGTTGGGGCTGGTGACCGTCACCACCTGGCCGGCTGACAGCGCTGCTGTCGTGTGGGAGCATCCACCAAACATCCAGTACCCTGTTGGAGGCCAAAACTCGTGATCCGTGCATTTTGTCGTACCTTCTGATGGAGACGATCAATAAACTTGGGTAACACAATTCGCAGCTTCATAGCCTGTGAAGGCTCCAGCGAAAACGGAAATTTCTTTTGGGCCAGTGAAGTCAAGAAAAGACTCAAATGTATTTTGATCAGGTCAGCTGTGACACGCCCATTCCATCTCATCAGCCCATACGCTACACGCAACACTCAACATAGCAACAATCCAAAACACTTGCAACTCTCATGTCAGCCGCACAGCTTTGCGAAATTCAAATGCGAGAAATCAGCCTGAGCTACTGTACGCAAGGTAGGGAAAAGCGAAAACTCAGCCTGCTGTTTGAAATAACGGAACGAATTCGTCTCTTACCCGCGGCGTCTCCATTAGTCTGCAAAGCAACGCCAGAAATCACAAAACTGTGGGAAAGCCACAGCCAATTGGCAGCGGGCAAAGAAAGCTCGATTGGAACTCGCCTGTGCGGAGGAGACGGCGAGGGAGGAGAGGACCGCTGCAAGGAGGAAGAGATGCATCGCTGGGGTAAGTCGGAGATGGATGTCGGAGAGACTGAAATTCGCCTACTGATCCTCCTCGCTTGGAGACCGTTGAGTGGCGTGGCCTTGGCGCGGAGGCTGCAGCGGAGAAGAAAACAGTCTCTACGCACACGGTTTCTTTCCACGCGGCAGGGGCAATAGTTCACAGATGGCAATCCGCGTCACGGATCCGGTCGGTTCTTTCTCGTCTGTCTCCTCTCGTGGCGGCGGCGGGGAGGCTCGTCGGTGGCGTCATTTGTAATTTATATGTTGTGATATTTATGTGTTTTTACCGGTGTTCTTCCCATGCCGGAAGTAAACGTGGATTGAGATCTCCAGCGTTCGAAAAAACTTTCAATTTTTCATGTCGGCGTCGTCATACCAATACTAATAAAATACTAATACGACACGAAAATGAATTATTTATATTACTGTATGTAATTAATACTCGTAACGAAAATGCAACAGTTAAACAAATCTTCTTCTTGCCCAGAACTCCTCGAGTTAATTTCGCAGAAATTAACTCTTAGTTAATTTCGCAGAAATTAACTCTTAGTTAATTACGCAGAAATTAACTTAGTTAATTACGCAGAAATTAACTCTTAGTTAATTACTCGCGGCTCCATTATATGATTAAATACTTTTCAAACAAGTAATTGAACAAATAAGTAAGCAAATTAATAAATAAAAGATTACGGTGATGCACGATTTGAAAGGTTTTTGCGACAATTAAAGGAAACGCGGCCGTGGTGGTAGTGTTTGGAAAGGTAAGCCCTTGAGGGGTGTCATGACTGAGGGATGTCATGACTTCGAGGGGGTGACATCCCTCGGAGGGATGTCACCGAACCCGTCGTTCACATATAATTCACACATTTTTCGCCGGTCTGGAGAGTCTCCGACTTGAAGTCATGACTTCAAGTCGGTATCGCTCCATCTGAAAGAGTTGTTCGCGTTGGGATTTAAAAAAAAATGCGGGAAAAAACTTGGAAACGCTGCAGTTATTCCGAGGGAGATCCAATTATCTGAGTGATAAGGGGAATATTCCTCGGTCTTCCAGCTCTGGTCAAAATCCGTAGCAAAAAAATTAATTCCTCCATTCTTAACCGCTTGAAGGAGCGGGAGACGTCTTGCGAAATTCATTGCCGAGTCATTGATGGGGGGGGGGGGGGGGGGGGGGGGGGGGGGGGGGGGGGGGCGGTCTCGTTTGAATTGGACAAAACGTGGGCGTATGGAAATGTGCCCAAATTTTCGATGCCGCAAATGGCCAGAGCCACCTTAAGGAAACGTGCCGTTTTAGTTGCTTTTGAGCTTTCTGAATAGTTAAAAAATCTCAACAAGTTCATACTATCGACAAGAGTCCATATTAAGACCAGTTTGCAGTTTCTACGGAGCGCTTGAAATACGTACTGCCGATACTAATTACGAACGGGTGGCAATTAATCCCTAATCATCGATGGTACCCGTGCATAGTTTGGACACCGTCGGCCGAGGGTGACCTCGACGACCTCGTTGGAAAAAAAAGTTTCAGTTTGGTAGCTTCTGCCAAACTGAAACTTTTTTTTACTACTTATCTGAGATGAGGCATGTCACAAGAACGTCTAGCCATGCGAGAGGGAGGTCACTGAATGACAAGTGATCGATGAGCTGGTGGCAGAGGTTCCGAGAATACGAACGCTAAATCTTTGGACAACCAGCACAAATTCTTCCTTGCATTAAAATGTAGCAACTTTCATTTCTTTTTCTCCTAATATAACTTCGATGATCGAAAATGAAGCGAGAGGCAAATCTCCGGAACCCAGAGGTGGCTCCATATCTTTGCCGCGGTAAAGACATGTCAGAACATCGATGACACGAAGCGCTGACATGCCAATTTACTTTTCTCGGATTTTTTTTTGCTGATATCACATAACACAAAAGGGCCTTGCGATCGTCTATCAATTTAGAGTGACCGATGGAAGACAGGTTGTGGCTAATTATCCTTCTGCCTGGAAGTTCATCGATTGTCTCAGGAATGAACAGAGCCCGAATGAACTCAGGTTACATATTTTTTATTATTATTACTCATATGTCTTTTTTCATAAATGTCTTCTTTCATGGCAACTGCGCTTAAAAAGTCTGAGAGCAGGAAATGCAGTCATGACAGCCTCGCCAACGTTTTGTACAGTGAGTGCGAGAAGCACTGCATCACTACATGATGGCGTTTCAAAGCAAAAACTAAAGGAGGATTTAAAAAAATCATGGGAATCACTAATTATGCATGCATTGCTAAATATCAATAATATGACATGTTGGCTTTCTTCATATGGAGATATCATGATATGCAAAACACATTGCAAATGGCAACAGCGAGTGAGCAAATGGCAATGGATGCCCAAAATGAACTCATAATGCCATAAAAAGGTTATTAAAAACACACAAAATGGACAAAAATCCCTACCTGCGAACCTTTCAAGAAAGAGAGAAGAAGTCTTGCTTTGAACCGGAGCAATGAGGCCATGCTATCAAGGGAAGGATACAACCTGATCGTTGCAGGGAACAACCTGAGCAGCCGAGATTAGGTGTCTTTTGAACGTCTGCATTTTCACCTTAACACATCCTTGCAATATCAAATGGAAGCAAAATCTGCACTTGGTCTCCACCTGCCAGTGGGGGAAATCAAGCAGGGAGGGGGGAAATGTCGTTCTGAAGCAGGGAAGCTGCTTCATGCGATGATGACCAGCTGATACATCACAGTGAGGTCGATGCAGGAACTACAAGGATGGGTGGAATTGGAGGTAACTCTGACTAGATTCCTCTTCGTGTCTATTTCTCATCCTCAACATCGAACGGTTCCGAACATTTGAAATATGAGGGGCACATCGAAAGTTTAGAGAAACTCATTGGTGTCAATCAACATACCTGACCAATTCATCTACAAATGCCTTTCACTGTGTGCACTTTGCATGAAAAACACTTAACACATACCATCATCATGTCATGTATGGGGTACGGCAGTACTGTCCACAACTCAATTTTTTGCTCATTATATAATGGGGTACTGCACAAGCACAACCCTTCGATGCAAAACGTGATTCCAACTGCCTCGCATTCCATGCAACACATCTAAGAACGTCTGTATTTACTAACAGGTAAGCTGGTGCCATTCCTTCAACAATCTTCCTAACACTTTCAATGTTCCATACAATGAGTTGCAGCTCAATATCAGATAAAAGACTGTTCTCCAAGCTGTTTGCCTTGGTAATTTGTGTTAAACTGTCATTTTTAAGGTATGTACAGCAAGAGAGGCTCCCATGGGGCTCTAGACATGTCTCAGCATGAATTCCAAATCTCAGATATGACCTCAGGGTCTTAATGTTTTAATGTCAGTGGAGGCAAGCTAGAGATATCTATTTGGTAATCTATTAAAGTGCACACATGCTGCAGGGTCTCTATAGATGAGATGGCAAGTAGATCAAAGTATTGCTTCACAAGAGTTTCTCCAAACACTTGCACTGTTAATTGCTGGTACCAAGAATATCAAGGGAAGTCAAATAACAGGAATAACTCAGGAGGACTGTCATCAAAAATGGCGATCCTTTGAACATCAATTAATCACACTGTGATCACATCTTGTTTTCTCTACCAAGAGCAAATCAGTTCTTATGGTACACCTATCAGGCACATGTACGGAAGAGTTAAGGCAACCAGAAAAAAAACAGGATAATATATTATGAAAAAGAGACTAGAATGCAACCTCCTTGCCCCAAAAGGCAAATATACTTCATATCCTTTTCTGTTCAAAACACTAATCCAGCTAGTTGTAGATCGTAAGGGCAAATTCTTTTTATAAAATATGTTATTGAGTGGAATAGATTCATTAACCCTTTCGTGCATGGTGTCCACAGTAGTGGATGGCAAAATTGTTGGCCATGTTGATAGCTTTTCAGCCGTATTACACATCTCTCAAGGCTTTTGGTACATGCAGTCAACTCCAAGGCACATAATCTGTTCATTGTTGCTTTCTAGTGGTGAAACATGCAACTACTACGGCAGAGTACCTCTTTAAATGTTTGCCCAAAAAAGGCATATTTTTGTTTTGCTTTAAAAATTCATGCACGAAAGGGTTAAGAAATTTGGTCCAAGGCTATCACATCTTCTAGTTCTGGTAAAATTTGATATAAGATTTACAGGCAACCTCATTGGGACAGGTCCACTGCCCAATAATAGAACCTATGTAAGTGGCCAAGGTTGACAGGTGAAAGTTGGACAACCTGCAATTGATTGAAAAAGTGTGATCCAATAGAAAAAGAGAACATGACCACATCTTTCAGAGAAAATATCCAAGTGAGCCACAGCATCAAGGTAACTCGAGAGTCTGATTTGTAACACCATCAGAAAAGGAACAAAAAGAGGGTGGCTGATGAAGCCAAGAATCTCATCAGAAGTCAAAGAGAAAGTAATGGAAACCAGCTGGTAACCTAATAACCAAACCAAACATCTCTTTAAAAGGGCAAAAGATCTAGAGAAACCAATGCAACCAGCATTTCAACCATCAAGTGGGTACAAAAGACAGGTTTTACAGGAAGACTTCTGCTCCTATCTCACTACTTTCAATCCATTAAAAATCTAAAAAATACTCTCACATAAGTTCTAAGCAACAGGATGAATTGAACCAGATTGCATTCCTAAAAAACATCCATATCACAAAAGGCACCCCAATATCAGTTCCATATCACAAATACACAGCAAAAGACAAAACAGAAAATGCTTAACACATTGCGTAGCATGCTGTATGAGAAAACATTGAGAATTTCACTCCTGAAGGCAATGGAAATAGACGGATGGGACAAGGCCGACCTTCTCTTTGATCTTGACTCTCCACATTCCATGGCCGATCCCAGGGCTCCTGTCCACGAGGACGGCAATGTCCCCTCTCTCGAAGCTCAACTCTCCCGAGTTCGTCGCCTTGAATGGTAACCGAGCGAGGAATCTCTCTTCTGCATCCAAGAAGTTGGAGCTGTCTCTTTGCTTCAGATCTGAAAATCAGAATCCAAATCTCTCTAAAATTCTGGCATAAAGTAAAGACTTCATTAAAAAGCTTTCATAATCATAAAATACCTTCAAGTCTCCATATTCACAAATATATTTTCTCTATCTTGTACAGGCTAAAGTACTGTCACATTCCAGTAACAGGATTGCCATTTTGTCTAAGAGAAAAAGCCCTTTTATCATCAGCTTAATCAATCCTTAAAAAGAGGAAAAGAAAGAAATTTGATGAAACCCAGATTCTTTTATTACTGACTCAGTGCTTCTCACCCTGATTCCAACACACCCAAGTAAACCTATTCAATATAAGCCTGCATCAGCATCTTACTATTGTTTTTTCTGGTCATTCTACTTCCACTTCCATATTACAAATATATAGATTCCATTCATTGCACCTAGCATCCTATATATTATATATTTTTATATATAAAAATATATTCAAACCAAGCAAGGATGGAAATAATTAATAGCACGAAAGAGATCATAAATGTCCAAGATATGATGCAAGATTTGGAAATAGTATCATCCACTGATGATAAAAAGATGCTACAGGGTTTTGGAATGGATATGACTCATAATAACAGAGCCTGGTGAAAAGTAAAATGACTCTAACAAGAAGAAACCTATTTAGAAATAGCTCCAAATATGATGAAAATAGAACATATTTCACCATGGAGGTGGAATCATGAAGTTGTCTTTCAAAGTTGGACAAGGCAACCACACAAAGCCTTTCAAGGGTACTATGACATACAAATAAAGTGCAACACTTAATCCCAAGACCTTCCTAAAAAATTTGAGCATTCCTTCCTATCAAACTGATGCCATTCCAGAGAAGCAGTACTTTTTCTATAAGCCAAAGAGGCTTCAAAGTTCACATCCAATTCATAACAAAGCCACATTAAATTATGAAGATGAAGTGTACGCATGTCCTATTTAGTCTCCTGTACTGAAAATTTATCAGGAAAGTTAGCTAATGAAAGGGTCTAAAACACCTCAAGAACAAAGGTGAAGATCAGGTGAAGCACAAAAATGATTTTACATCTCCTACAGAAGGAAACTCGCAATCTATTGGAACAGGGCAGGAACTGATACATTGATAATGGATTCCAAGTAAAGGAAAAGATTAGAATTCATATTAACACTCCAAGTCAACACAGAATATGGGCTTATCCACTTTTCTATGGGACTCCAATACACAATTTTACTTCTTATCTTATCGCCTGCATCTTTTTCTGGGAATGAAGCTGGAGTAACCACACAAATATGCATGACACATGAGGTACTTCCCATAGAAAATTTATTTTATTGATGGCCATAGGGAGGAAACGTAGCTAAACATTTTCGGTTGTTCCCTCCACACTTCAAACCAATAGAGTAAAGATTAAGATATTATCAGGCAGATCTAATTGGTCTGATTTGCAAGTGAAGCAGGTACTTCAAATACTTTCATAATTTATTTTGGGAATTCGAGTTTACTGTAATTGCTCCTAAAGAACCTATTTCCTCTTCTTAGCCCAATGATTCAGGTCTGATTTCTGCTTTTTTTTTTAAATCAAGGCTGGTATCCTCAGATTCCATCTACTAAAAGGGGAGTAAGGGAGCACTCCTGTCATTATGATGGTATCTCAAAATGAAAAAAAAAAACTGGTTGCAGCCTGGTTACTTTAATGTAATTCAAATGTTGGATGCTAGCAGACTCTGAGGAAACAAAAAAAATTTTTGCATGACACGGAGGAGGGCAATTTTCCCTATGAACCTTCCATTCTGAAATGACAATTTCACACCTTCCTTCAATTTATCAGCAAAGAATGAGCATCCCAGAGAGTAATTAATGCCATGAAATTTCACTGGAAGTTAGGGCAGCCTGCATTTTGCATGACACATCTGACTCAGAACCAATCTGTCATTATGCTGGAATTTCCAGGAACATGTGAATGCCCAGGCATGGTTATCAGCAGCAGGCAACTATTTGATGCTGATATCTCTGACAAGTCCACGCTTCTGTAACATGCAGACTAAGCCATGAAGTATTTCAGAGTCTTTCAGTCCAAAGGAAAAGATTTCAACTGAAGTTCAAAATACAACCTCCAGAACTCCATAAATGTCAAAATCTGCAATAAATATTTTATTTTCTCAAGAGATAATGATGCCATTTTATATCTGATAACAGAAATACAACACTGGCAAAATGAAATAAGATATCATAATACTGATGGAATGAAGAAAACTGGGTGAAAACATACCTTTAACTTCTTTCTGATTGAGGTGATGCAAAGAAGGGGAAACTGGCATCTTCTTCTCAAGAGTTGTGGTCATTCTGGATTCCTTCTGAGGGTAATCCACAGGGCAATCCAGATCTTCACAGGAGAAGGATCCCAATATTGACGGCTTCTTGGCAGGTACAGGTGGCTTCTCGATGCGAGATGTTGGCTTCCCATTGGCACGATCTGAAGTCACATCTGGGGAAATTGTTACATGTCTAGACTTCTTGTCCTGCATGAGAGATGACTGTAAGACGTCTTTGTGAGGAATAGGGGTTCCGCTTGCGTTCAACGCATTTGGTTTGAGTATTGTCTTCATTTCAACCTTGCTTCTCTCATCTTCACGGCAAGTAACTCCATTGGAAATGTCTTTAGTATGGTTTGGTAGAACGTGGAGTTTTGCCTCTGGATGATGCCAGATCAGATCAGGGGATGCATTGGGAAGGGGAGTAAGAGGCTTCCTCTTGATTGCAGGCAGTTGTCGACTGTATCCTACGCCTTGAAAACTGGACAGATGCACTCTCGTACTTTCGGAAACTTCGCGGGACGCCGTAAGATTCGGAGAGTGGGAGATGGCTACCACTTCTGGAGAATATTCTGAATCAAATGTGGTTTTCTTCTCCAAATGCAAATGTTGAATCTGCATGATGTTCTTACTTGGATCGTGCATCAGCTTCTTCTTCTTCGGACTAGATCGCAGACTAGAACCGCGCAGCAGGCTTGTCTTCATGGGTTTCTTGGGAACTTCAGGCTTGAATGATTGACTAATAGGAGCTTCAGGCAAGGGTATCGTATTGCCAGGCACAGGTTCATTCGTGGGGTAATAGGCCCTGGGTTCACTGTCTTTTGCAAGAGTGTCATAGATATTGCCAATAATTGCTTCTCCCTCTGGAGCCATCCTTTCCGTATCATAACTTCTGTGACGAGAGATGCTCAAGGGCATGCCACCGAGTTCCTGATCGACTTGGCAGTTCATGGTCTCTGTGCCTTTCTTAGGGGGAAGATAGTTTGGATCAAAGTCAAAAGCCTCATCATATATGGCTTCTGGCTGCTTGTCTGTCTCCAGAGGAAGTTCTCTTAAATTGGGTTCTTCTAGCTCTGCATAAAGAGTTTCACATCCTGTTTCATCATAGTCTTCGGTCATTAAGTTCCTTGTTGCTTCGAGGCTCAACCGTTTGTATGTATTCTCAGACAAAGTGGCTTTATCAAAAGGGGAGCAAACTGCCAGCAGTTCAGCTTCCCATTGCAATCTTTCCTCTGCCGTTGTTGCCAGAAACTGAAATGAGAGAATGAAAAAAAGGCTGAAAGATGTTTCAAATGTACAGAAAGGATGGAAAAGACCAGAAGAGGACCCTGCAGCTTAATTTCATTGGCACAAAGCACTACCCACTAAGTGCCCTAAGTACACGACAAATTTATCTGAAAGGGTGGGAAGAGGGGGATTTTCCATTATCATATTCTGTTACCACTTCTCTTTATCTAAAATTTATCTTATCTTATAACTCTTCAGAAGAACAAATGAAAAGTATGAGTCAGGGAAGCACCTATGGATCAGTTCATACCTCCTGTTCACATGCAAGTACAAGATGGTTCCTAGCAGACCCAATTTGGAAACATACGTTTTGATTCCTAGGAAGACACCTTTTGGCAGTCTGGAAGTACTCTCACTGCAGAATTATATTCATGGTAAGCTGATTTCTTCATGAATGGAAATGCTGGTAGTTAGGCATATTTTTTCTAAGATGACCTTCAAATGAACTCAATAGTAAAGTGATGCCTTCCTTCATATTTAGTAGGCCTATACATCTTGGTGAAATAATAGAAACTACAATGTTTGATATGATATCGTGTCCAGAAGAGTTGTTGTCTAAAGCTACATACATTCCAATGAGGGATTGGCTTCAGAACCTCTAAATCTGATTCCAGATGTGGTTACACTGTCAGTCACTTTGTCTGATAGGCATGGGCAGCCAATTGGTTAAAAGCAACTTCCCAAACATTGATTCAACTGCAACTCATCCGAGTGCCTGTAGACTCCTACTAGATACGTGCACACTCCCAGAACAGATATATTCTTCATTGCAGGCTCATTACATAACATTAACAAATGAAAACCATTTACTCTTTCATTTTCATCATGTGCTAATATGCATCCTGACTGTAACTGTATGCTTCATGACGAGGATCCTTTTTTTTTTTTTTTTAGATCATAGGAGGGGTAACAACAGCACTCACTATGTAAGTCTTCGTTTCACTGTCACTGAGCCGTTCGGAGAGCAGGAAGGCACACTGACGTCTCCTGTCGCTCAATTTCTTCTGGATAGATTCCACTGGTAGAAGGAGGGCATTGGCCAGGAGGATTGCCACCTTGGGCTTCTTGGCCCTGGCATCCTTGAAGAGCAGGAGCCAGCCGTCACTGTGGAGGACCGCCCGGTAGGTTTCTTGGCGGAAGCTGAGGTTCATCTTCCTGCGCTCCTTCAAGAACTGCAGGACTCCATGCTTGGAAGACTTGGACAAGGCGGTGCTGTACGAAACAGTGACGCATGGTCTCTCGCTTCCCGTCTCCTCGTCGGTCTTTTCTGTGGTCGTTTCTGATACTAAAGGCACACGAGTACATGATTGCAGAGACTCATTTATTCAAACCTCTGGGTAGTTTGTGAGACTCGTCCCATTCACAGACTTACCAGTCAAGCTACTAGCCGATGTCCCACTGCCGGCTTGCATTCTGCCGTCTCCCTGCCCCGGGTTCCATCCCAGCTGTTGGCATCTTAGAAGGAGAGGTTGAAGAAGGCTTTGAATATCAGTCAGCTCCTCTGACAAATGCTCTTCAAGGACTGCTTGCTTTTCAAGTTCCTCAAAGAATGCATCACACCCTGCATAATCAGCCCAAAGCAAGTCCATATTAAAATCAAAAACCCACAGAGATTGGAAAAGACGACCAATTTTCCCAGCACTTGGCAAAGCATGGCATCTTTAGAGTAAAATTTGTTTTCCAGAAGAAAACTATATTTACAAGTTTGCTATATGTTTTGCAATTGCATTTCCAGGCCATATGAGTCAATGTTTACATGCTATGAGTCAATATTTACAAGCTATGAGACAATATTTACAATCTATGAGTCACTGTTTACAAGTTTTGCGCACAGGCCTTGGCTAGGCCTACATGTCCAGGATTTTACAAACCAGCCGAGCAAGTCTACCTCTCGCCGCGGTTAGGCTAACAATTGAGAGAATTCCACCATAATCCCCGTTTAAAAATTTAGGCCTTGTAGGCCTACCACGACTTGCCCACTGTGATTTCAAAACGAATTCTTGCAACCTTTTTTCAAGGTTCAATGTCATTTCAATAACGCCTCCAACGAGGTACGGCCATGTCTCCCCTCAGAAAATCTATAAAAGCGCCCATATTAAGACGATATAAATTCTCTAACAAATCACCAAATACTAACCTAAATAAATCACTCTTAACTTATATATACTAATCGACTCAAAGCGACTCACGCTCCAGGAAGTCGCAGAAATCCCGAAGGACGACCCGATTCTCGACGAGAGCGGCGGCCATCCACCAGGTTCAGGCCATCCACGAGGCTCAGGCCTTCGAGTGAGCCTCCGCATCGCTCTTCCTGGAAGGTAATGACATCGCGAGGGCGGGAGATAAGTGTTTCGTCCGAAGGAATCCCAGCCGCAGCGCCATGATCCCCCTCGACTCGGTCGGCGCAGCGCTTTCGAAAAGCTCGGAGCCTCGCTTCAATATTTCGGGAACCACCGTCGCTGCTTTTGTTTCGCGTTCAGAAATAGAAAATTCAGGTGTGGCATGAAAATGTATGACCGCCGGTACGTACAATATATAATTATATATGGAAAAGCCATGCTCTTCGGGAAGGGAAGAAACTGACTGCATATACAGGGTGATTCAAAATAATGTATACGCACATTGAATCACTCTGTATCATCAATGGTAATGGTCATAACAATTAAACCATAAAAACCGATGGTGCAATTGCTGGCATACAACATTGCTTAAAATTTGTATTATTAAAAGTAAAATAAGTAAAGTAAAGTAAATAAAATATCCTCAACATGGTGGATGTCAGAGGCGGATACAGAAATTTCTCATAGGGGGGGGGCGGTTCCCTACTTCCTACCGACTCCGCCCCCCGCCCCTACCTTCCACCACTCCCAGTTCTATCGCCTTTTTCATTTTTTGTCTGGGGTACAAACTTTATCTATTTCACCGGCCCCAATAAAAATTAATGTAGAAGCTAATAAGTAAGAAAAACCGAAAAAATAGAATGGTAACCTGGTCATAGGGGGGGCGGTCGCTCTCCCGCCCCCTGCCCCCCCTTGGATCCGCCCCTGGTGGATGTACTGTTGAATTTCGAACAAGGAACATATTAAAATGGTACATGAGAATGCAAAGGAAGTACAGCATGTCTTGATGCGAGAGTATGGAACAGCAGCTGCCACATGCGATAGAACTCGTCATATACGTGATGCATTTGAAGAACATGGGACTATCCAGTTAAAATCCAGTGCAGAAGAAAACGAACAGCATGAAGTCAAGAGAATGTGGAAACTAATAACCGTGTACCAGCATTCTAAAGAAAAAACACACATTTTGAACATTTGACATAAGATGACTATTGTATGGCGTTTTCACATATTCATTGTGTACATAGCAATGTGGTTTTTTTTTTAGTACAATAAGTATTGAAGATACATTGTTTCTAAATGTGTATACATAATTTTGAATCACCCTGTGTATCTCAATTGAGTGGTCCGAAGTGCTTGCTCTTCTGAAACTTTGTTCTGGACTCAAGACTTAGACCGCGATATCCTGGCATACGCGAAAACCACAGTCGGTTTCCTGCTCGCAAAAACCACGAGTGCGCGAAATAATTCCACGCGAAGGCATCGAAGAGCAGACCCGCTCCGGCTCGAATCAAGCGCAGAGTCGCGACCAGAGAGAGTGAAGATATATTCCATATACAGGGTGGGGCAAAAGTCACCGTACAGTTGTCGAACAGAACATAGGCCAATTTCTAACGTCATCGTGACCATTGTTTTAAAAAAAAATACAAATAACGCAGGAAAATGATCGTGCAATATAATTTCTAAAGCTACCAGCTTCATCCAGCAATGAAACAATGGGGACCAAATTACCAAAACAGCAACTTTCAGTATACAAAAATTGTATAGTAACTTTTGCCCCACCCTGTATAATCCCCCCTCCCCTTCAAGGGATGTTCAAAGCTATTTCCCACCGTTCACTTTCCTTATCCTGCGTCTTCTCACGCAGTGATTTCATTTACTTTTAATCGTTATCATATTTAGCATACCCGTTCTAGTTCTGACTCTCTCAATATACAACCCATTGCACCATTTCAGACCCACGTGGAAAGCAATACAATTTCAAACTTTCGTCACTGCCCCCAGACATCCCTGTCCCCAGAGGAAACGCCTCCCCCTTCCTCCAGATGTCCCTGCCGTCGAAGTAGAGGACACGTCATCCAGTCTCCTTCAGGCGCCCGGCCAGTTTGTTCTGTTCGCTCTTCAAGTTCCTCGTGCAGGCGATTGTACTCGGTCCTACAGCGACAACCCAGGTAACATATGTGAATCGGCTGTGCAAATGTTGAAGGGTGAAGGCGAAGATTGTTTCAATGTTGAGAGAATGCTATCGCATCACACTGTAGACGGGACCGGCCCTAGCTATTTCGGCGCCCTGAGAAGCTGAAGACGAACCCATCGGAAGTCCACTGGAAGTACTGGGAAAGTACCGAAGTCGGGGCAGGCGAAGGGAGTTCAATAATCGTCTCATCTCGTCACATTCTTATGCCGTTTTTTCCTTCCACAAGGTAAAAAAAAAAAAAAAACAAATTTAAGAATATGCGCGGAAAAAACCGACTCGTCGCCTCTCGAGCTTCCAACGAGAAGTTGAAACGAAATCGCTTTCGAAGAATGATAATTTATTCCAAATTCATGAATCGATATCTATCCAATCATGATTAAGATTCGCCATGCTTCGACTCGCGAGCCGCCCGTTCAGAGAAGATCGACGCGAGAGCATCGATTCATGGAATTGGACTCCCTTGCAACGTTTCAACGCAGTCTCGAAGAGGAAAACCACCAGGAGATCACAGCAGCTGGGAAGGCACGCAGTTGGGAAGGACCGCAGTTGGGAAGGCACGCAGTTGGGATGGAGCCCAGCTGGGAAGGACCGCAGTTAGGATGGAGCGCAGCTGCTTGGCCACCTTTCCTTGTTCACCCGGACGTTGCACGCGATCCCGTTGAAGATCAACGTCGAAAGTACAATTTCATGTAAAATTAAATCATTTCGGAATTCGCGGTGACCTTGCCTGTGAAGGTCGAAACCGTTTGAAGCCGATTGCAGCTTCAAGTTTGAATCCAGAAGTCGACACGAATAACCGAAGGCGGAAAAAGCCACCCTCGAACATACCGAAGACCAGCTTCGAAAGGAGCGAAGCGAAAAATCCGGCTCGAAACCATGTCAAGTCGCAACTCGAAACCATGTCAAATTGCAACTCGAAACCATGTCAAGTCGCAGCTCGAAACCATTTCAAGCGGTCGCTCGAATGACCCAAGCATCTTGCCACGCAAAAAATCTTTATTCGCACGAACTCACGCCGCGCACGTGACGGTGCACGTGAATCCCTGGGCGTTGATGAACGCGTTCGACGTGAAGGACATGATCAGCCTCGTCCCCGCCGGCACCGTGTACCCGGTCAGGCTCGTCGTCCCGCAGATCCTAGACGAATCCCATCCGATAATCCCCTTAATCCCCGCTTAGATCCCAACTCGAACTTACTTTCTGCTCCCTCCGCCGGTGATGATGAGGGCGTCCGCCCAGCAGCCCAGACTGGATTGAATCACGATGGTGGGGCAGTTCATTGTGATCGCCTTTGCGCACTGAAATCCCACCCGGAAAGGAATTAATTTTCGTGTATTAGCCCTCGATCAATCGTGTATTAGCCCTCGATCAATCGTGTATTAGCCCTCGATCAATCGTGGATTAGACCTCGATCAATCGTGGATTAGCCCTCGAACTATCGTGGATTAATCCTCGATTGTTTGTGGAAAGTTGAATATGAATTTAACTTCATGTCGGTTAAATATGAATTAATCGTGGATCCTAAATCCTAGATCCTAGGTCAATCTAGGATTAATGAAGGACAAATGAACCCCAACCGTGAAGGCCCAAGAGCGGCGGGCCAGACTGTTGTAGTTGCTCGGGTAGTTGGGGCTCGTGACCGTCACGACCTGGCCGGCCGTCATCGCCGTGGTCGTCGTCGTCGACCAGTACCAGAACGGCCAGAAGAAGAATAAGCCTAAGGGGGGAGGAGGTGAGCGTGAGGCGACCGTGAGGCGGATGATGCACGCGTGAGCGGTGGGATCGGGGACTCACGGTCGGGATCGTCGTCGGGGGCCTCGCTGACGGCCTGGCTGTCGGCCTGGTTGTTGGCCTCGCTGTTTCCGCTGCTCCCTGGAGAGAAAAATGGGATGCACTATGAAGGGCCGCAACGAAAGAATTAATGACTCAGTATTTTCGCTCGAGGAGGGAACCGAAGAGGAAAGATGCTTCTGGTCGTACCGTCAGCTGGCTGCAATGCGAAACAGGAAATAAAATTTTTGAAACTTTGGGAAAACTGAAGCCAAAAATGAGGGAAAGCCTGGATCGAGACTCGCCTGGGCGAAGACGGCCGCGTGGGCGAGGATCGCCGCGACGAGAAAGAGACGCATGGCGAACGGTGAACGCTGAAGAGACTGTGACGAGCGCTGAAGAGACTCTGGGGAATGCTGAAGAGACTGTGACGCTCTCCGACCGATCCGCCTCTCTTATCGTCCGTGACTCTCGCCCACGCGCTCCGCCCGGCCTCGAACCTCCCTGGCGCGCCTGGCGAAAGGACCCCCCCTGTGTTTTTTTTTCCCTGGCGCGCCTGGCGAAGCGGCGCGTGACCGGCTCGTGATCGCAACGCAGATGCTGACGCATTCCAGCCCGCAGAGCCGAATGATACGCCAGAAGGCGAGTTCCTCTTTTGGGGAAAAAAAAAAAAATGTTCAGCAATGTGCCTGTTCGCATCGACAACAACCAGTCGAGTTGCCAAAGGAAGAGTGAGGGAATTGACAACTCAAGACAATTGACAACAGGTTCCAATGGACAACAGGTACCACATAAAGTCGGCCCAACGTGGGGTAAAGGTGGGAAACGTCGGCGGAACGCGAATGCCGGGGAACGACGTCGGCCCATCGTGGGCCCAGAAGAACCGCCGACGCCCCGACGAGGAACTTGAACGCCTTCGAGTTCTCGGAGTTCCCTCTTTCCCTCGCGGGAGTCTTTCGCCTCGTCTCATCGTGAATGAACGCGGACGGTCGAAATTCGTTCGAGACAGATTCGGGGAGCCCAAGCCATTATTTATTCTTTCGCTGTTGTAATTTACATTTTTATGTTTTGTATAACTTTTTTTTACTTTGTGTGAATTTACCATATCATACCATATATATTAAATTATATATTTAATTACGTAACTGGAGATGGCAAAACTGATGGGTGAAAGAAGGCCTCCGAATCGGAATGGACGCCAGGGTTAACGTCCGACCGCGTCCAAAAACGCGACGCAGAAAAAGCGTCCGCGAATTTCGCGCCGCCTCGGCCTGATGACGGAAGGAGGAAGTCGAGGTCCGTTTTCGCGGATGCCTCAAATTGCGGTCGTGCGTGTGCAGTCAGTTCATCCAGCACGTTCAGCGGCAGATCGAGGTCTGCTCTGTATCGCCCGCCGATCCAGGTCGTGTGGACATGTGCGCGGCAGGTGGTTCGACGCGGCCCAGACTCGGTACTGCAGATGCCTCCACTGGGAAATAAATTTACGGGAAAAAAAAACAGTTAATGAGGTATGTGGGTTACGTGTTGTCCTACTTACGTTGGCCCAGCGTTGGCTCAACGGTCACTTGCACGTGGGGCCAACGCGAGGTACCGACATCGGGCCGACGCGTCCTGACGTCGGAGGACGACGTTGGGCCGACGTAAGCCCCACGAAAAGTCATCTGGGTCGGCTCGGTCGATTCTCCTCCAGCAGTTTCTAAAATCGAAAATCCGTCGATGAACCTGGATGAACCTGGGTGGACATCGTCCAAACGCTCCGTCCTTCCCCCGCGTTTCATTTCCTCTCTGTTCCTTTTTTTGCAGTCGAGATTGGCCGTAGCGAAGAGGTCGTCCTCACTTCGTTTCCTCAGCATGGGATCTAAATCTTTCATTCATTGAAAATATCATTCATTGAAAATTTATTCATTGAAAATTTATTCATTGAAAATTTATTAATGGAAAATTTATTAATGGAAAATTTATTTTTACTTGCTTCAATCTTCATCACAGGAAATTCTGCTGCTGTAGGGCGATTGCACAAAAAACTGTCCTTATCTCCGAATCCGACTTTTTTTTATGAGAATCCAATTCAATCTGAATTCCTTTGAAACGTAGAATTCAAAATTCAAGAAATTCAAAATTCAAGAAATTCATTTCCAAATTACCGATTAGAGTTATTATCAAGAACACTCTCCTGAATGCTAAACCAAGCTCAAATCGAATCCTGAGGAAGGAAGGCGTTGCCAGATAAAGGTGTTTCCATTTATAGCGATTCTGTTGTTTTTTTTAAAAATAATTTATTTATTATTTTTATTTTGGTACATTTAAGTTGACTAAGTTTTGTCGAAATTCAGATGAAATTCCTCGACTTTTTCCGGCGTTTTAATTCTCACGAATAAAAAGAGAGAGGAGGGGATGCGGCATCCAACATTTGCGTTGTGGGCGAGCCATCTACATCAGTTATCCGAAGAAGAGGGTTCCCACTAGTGAAGCGAGATGGCGCCAAAGTAGCCGCGGCTGCTGCGGCATCAGGTAATGACCCCCTACGAGTTCCCAGTACTTTCCACGCAGTGCCTGATCCTTTCCCCTCGGAGACACTCGAGCTCCTCATTAAATTAAGGAGACTCCATGCAATTGCGGGAAGACGATCGCTCAACTCCTTCGTAATTGTTGTCCGACCTTTCCGCGAATGGAGAAGGATGACGTCACGATTGAGTTTAGGGGCATTCACTTTAGGGGCATTCACTTTAGAGGCATTCATTTCACAAGCCTTCAGCAAACTGAAGGCGATCAATTTCTAAAGACGCTTCCTGCAGTCCCTCGAAGCGCCTGAAAGTCAGGCTGAACGCTGGCGCGCTGCCTGTTTGGAGACCCTCCTTGAAACCGATTTTACGACGGTCATTCATTATGATGTAGAAACCCCCTTTGGATATAAATATGAATGACGCCGCCTCGAGGGAGTCCAAGGTTGACACGAGGAGCGAGGAAGGCTGGAATGCAGGTGGTTTCCCAAGCGACTTCCTCCTTCCTTGCGTCCCTTCGGGACGGAAGGATCTTCCTTCCTCACGTCCAGTCGGTCGTCCTTCCTCACGTCCAGTCGGTCGTCCTTCCTCACGTCCAGTCGGTCGTCCTTCCTCACGTCCAGCTTCTTCGTCTGGCTGCCTTTCCCTTCGCGTGCGGCCGGGCCCATCCGATCGTGTCTTCTCTCAGTGGCCCTTATCGATGGCCTCGAGGATCGCTGTGCGAGTCGAAGGCGGGGAAACTCAGGTTATTTAACTCTCAATCACCATACTCATCCTTTCGTTGAAATCAGAGGCATTTTATTTTGAACGCAGCGGGAAAAAAAGAATCGTTAGAGGCGTCCGGGACGGCAAGTACAGAGAAGAAAGGACGTAAAAGAGGACGCTTGAGCGATAGCGGGCGCAGACGAGGCTACAACTTCTGGAAGACGTGGACGACGCCGGGCTGCCCCAGGAGGTAATTCGTCAGATGCACCTCCTTGAGCACCTTGATGACACCCTGCGAGACGAGTCCCTGCATCTCTTCGTCGAACTTCCCGAACTGGGGCGACTTCTTTTCGTATCCCAGCCTTCTGGCCCACACCCCGTGACCCCCTGCGAGAGAAGACATTCGACGGCTCGACTGAAAGGCACGACGACGAAGCACGACGACGAGGCACGAGGTCGGAGCACGAGGTCGGACTGACCTCGTTTGATGACCCGCACGAGTTCGGGGATGGAGTCGGGGTACATGTGGCCAGGGGCGAAGGACCCGCTCGTCACCTCCAAGTCGTACGTCTCTGTGGGGGGGGAAGCGGAAGGCTCTAGAACGATGGGAGGGGGGAGGGGAATGGGAGGGGGTTACCGTCTTCGATGGGGATGGGGTGATCCTTCCCGATGTAGGTGACGATGGTGTTCATGTAGATGCCTTTCGACTTCCCGGTCGCCAGCATTTCCTTGCTCGCGTCGAGGGCTATTACAACCACTGGGCGCCTGCTGTGAGTGCCCCCATGGGGGGCGGGGGGGCAGGGGGGCGCAGGGGGGTTCGAAGCTCGAGGTCAACGGGTCGAGTCCGTCCTTGAAAATGGTCGTGGGAGTGTTGGACGGAGTTCAAAAGTCACCAGAGCCGACCACAATTAGGATGAATGTCAGGAGGACGTAAAGACGACCGGTTTCGTCCTTCCTTTTGTCCTTGACGCCCTCCTAACCCCCACCCAAACGGGACCGGGAAGTTCTGAGAATAGAAAAATCGCATCCCGACATCCCGCGATCAAAACGGACCCGAAATCTCGAGTCCGACCGGAACCGGTCGGGCGAGGAAACGCGGAGACTTCCACTTGGGGGGGGGGGGGGGGGGGGGAGGGGGGGGGGGGAGAAGGTCTCCCAGGCACTGGCGAAGCAGGCGACCATCCACTCCCTTTCGTTTTATAATTTGTCAGCAGTTTCGGGGGATGTTTGGAACAAGCACTTTAATTTATAATTTTAAAAAAGATAATACCAAATATTTTTCGAGAAATTTTCGACAAAATTGTGACGGAGGCTTCCGATATTTCGGCGGGATCGGCCGCGAAGATTCGCGGAAATTCGCGAAATCCATGGTGTCATTACAACTGAGAAAAGGCGAATAATAAATGACAAGCAAATAATAAATAACAAGCGAATACCGAAGGGCGAAGGCCTCGGAACGGAACGAAATTGACTACCCCCGAAAACGGAATAACTTCGTTCCGTTCCGTTCCGTTCCAAGAATCCTGACCATTATTTCCCTCTGCACTGGCAATATTTGGTCATGGAAAAAATTTTTCGTTTGGGCTAAATTTCCCCTGTGGATCCTCCCCCCTCCCCTCCCCTCCCCCCTCCCTTCCCCTCCCCTCCCCCTCCCCCCTCCCCTTTAAAGGAGGAAGAATATTCTAGTCACAATACCTCACAGTGGAAATCACCCGAGTTTCAAACACGGCTCCGTCTTTCAAACACGGCTCTGTCGCGACTCACGAGACGGAATCCCGGCGAGGAACTGGCTTCACCCTCCCCCCCCCCCCCCCCGACTCGCCCCGCGAGTTTTTCCCTCGCCCCGATATCCATCGCAAACCCGATCCGGCGAGCCGCGATGGCTCGACGCGATTAGCTCCGTGGCCTTGGACGCGAAAAAAAAAACTCCTTGGAATCCGACACAAAACTGGCAATAAAAATGAGTCATGTCGAATGTCACCGTTGAATGTCACCGTTGAAATCGGCATCGGTGGACTCGATTCCAGGACGAGTTGGCAGGATCTTGTCCTTGTTATGGTCCTTGTCATGACGAACACGGGCAAATAAAATTTCAGGATATTTACGAGAAGCGAGATCCAGCGTAGCGAATGATTTCATGACGAATTTCACTGTGAAAACCGATCCCGTGACGAATTTCACTATGAAAACCGATCCCGTGACGAATTTCACTATGAAAACCGATCCCGTGACGAATTTCATTTTGAAAACCGATCCCGTGACGAATTTCACTATGTAACGCTTAACCCTCGGCATCTAACAACTGCATAAAGAGAACAATGCATATAACTGTCTAAATCGAATCGACTTATCATTCGCTACGGTCCAGTACTTCCAGAAGTACTTGTAGTACGGAATAGATGCTGGACCGATCTCGATCAACGTTGTAGCCGTCGTCTCGCGCTGAAGTCGATTCGCAAAAAAAAGGAAAAAAAAGTACGGTCAATTCACAGCAGCGTTGATGAAAAACGAAAAATGGACGTCGATGAAATGATGGAATTCGCGTCATGGCGGCAGAAAATAGGTTCTGCGAATCGAGAGGAGATGGCGCTTAACCGCCGATTCGGCGGGTCTTGCCCTGGGGGGATGAAATAAGCAGAATCCTGTATTTTTCATGCGGAACGCGATCTCTTGCCATGTACAGCATGAGGGAAGGCATGTAAATTAATGGATTAATGGATTTGTTTAAGGAGGTGACCCGGCGGAAGGAGACTGTGGGAAATTGTGGCCGTTGGGTCCGAGGAGACATCCTCAATTTCCTTAAATATCGACATGGCACATCCACTTAGCACGCTCAGTCTCCTCCGTGAAGGATGGAGGATGGCAATACGATCGCGGGATCGTATTGCCGTCGTTTCCGTCTATTGGACGGAGTCGAGTCGTGTGAGCGTCCTGATCCGATTCTGACCGATGAAGGACTCTGAGGGTCTTTTACGTGTGATGATGGTGCTCAATGGGATACTGTTAGTGTCGTACCGCTTGGGGAGAAGTGTGCCTCCGTGGGAATATCGAATCTATTGCCGACCTCACCGTCCGCTGATTAATGCTCTTTCTGACTCTGAATAAAGGAGCAGGTGACATAAGGCCCATAAGGTGACAGTTCAACGGTGACGCAACGTTGCGCGGCACCAACTTTTCTACGCTGTTTCATTTCAACCTTTTCACAACGTTGTGGCGAATTTTTCATGCATTTTTTTTTTCCTACTTGGCTCAAGTGAGATGCCGTTTTAAAAAGCTAATTTTAATTTTAAGTTTAATTGCCTTCCAAGCGTGTTTCGTGAAGTTTGGATGAAAATAAAGGGCATAATGTTCGACCTTTAATTTTGGGGGAAAGGCCTTTCCCCCTCCCCCCCCCCCC